GAGGCGGTAATGGAAGTGAGTGTACAAGGTGGGGTTGGGGGTGGTTGCAGAGATGAGAGTGGCAGCTTAGTTAGGGGTTGGAGGTAACGATTGGGGTGGTGGTCTTAGTATGAGCGAGGAGGGAGTGGGAGCGGGGAAGGGTGTCAAAGTCGGGTGGCCTGTCCCGACGTTCTTCTTCGTTAGATAGCGCTGTGCTCCACGACCCCCTTCCCCTTCCACCCCCAGCGAGGAGGGGACCGTCCCTGCCTCTAGTCGACATCTATAACAGGGAGATTAAATTTTATTATTTAGTGCTCATAACACATACTATGTAATAAAACAAAAACAGAACAATACATAATAAACATAAAACACATAAGTATGCAGTAGACATGCAGACAAAACTATAAAGTGCAAGGTATAACTACTAAAACCAAAACACAAAACTATGTAATAAACTGAAATATGAAATTTAATGAAAGGCACAATAATCTTGCTCAGCATCGCCTAAAGAGTGACTGAAGGATGTAACCATGATCTCTTCTTATAAAGCATCACCAAAGTCATATTTATCACCAAGATTAATTTCTTCGTATTAGCCACTAGCAACCTCTAGATTGAGCTCTTCATCAATTGTATCAAGTGGAAAACATAAAACTATCATTACACTTTCTTGATGGGCTAGTTTAATATTTTTTTAAATATTATTGGTGACTCGGTTCACTCAAAATGACAATCGTCCAATTAGTGTTATCTTTTTTTTTTATGTGGATACTCGAAGTTGACTTCTTTGCCCAATTATGAGTGAAACCAAATTCGGGTGGATGATGTGATGAAAGGTAAGGGCATGCAATAATCTTTGGAATGTCACTAACAATTTGCATTATATATTTCCCATACATTCTTGGAGGCAGCGAGGAATTCTCAATTTTATTTCTTCTGAATGCATTCATGTTCCTCCTGAGGGATGTTCAACATCAGAAATACACATGATAGTCAAACCATGAATTCTTCTTGTCACGTTGAAGCATGAATGACTTGGATGAAATCAAGCAATATGGGCAGGCTAACTTTCCCGTGGTGGTTTTCCATAACATTCCATACATAGGAAAAATCACTTATTGTCCATATTAATATTGCTTTCATCAAGAAATTGTGTTTTCTAGAGATGTTGTACATCAAGACACATATTTTCCAAAGAATATGCACTCATCTATTAAAGATTGTAAATATACATCAATCTTCCCTTTAAGGCTACCAAGACTAGGTATAATCAATGTCAGGAAGAAGAAAGGGAGTGTCATGCACGCCTTAGGTGACATATTGTATGACGTAACAATCACCGTCCAATAAGAGTAAGATGATGCGGTATGACCGTACAGTGTGAAGCTGACAGAGCATAAACCTAGTCAGACGTTATGTACCTCTGCAACGAACTAAGAATATGAGCGATTAAAAGATTTCCAGGCATCCCCATCAGTTGGATGACTAATTGAGTTATTTTATTCTAATCTACTATGATGTCACGTCATATGTGGAGAAATACACATAGAATTGTGTAGCTTTTGTAGACGTTAAATAAGTGATAGATAAAATAGCCGCTTGAATGAAACTTCTTTCTGACTTTTACTTTTTATGCTCCAAGGTTTGAATCTAGGAGAATTAAAAATCTACATTGAATCTTTATCGCTCTACCCTTGTGATATAGCATACATTCTTTTACACAACAATCAACTTTTTCTGCTTTAAGCCCCAACTTGAGTCCAACTTTTTCATCATGTATAAATCTTTAGGGACTAAATTTTCAGGTGGATTAGTTTCTTTGGCAGGCCTGCAAACTGATTGAAGCACTCTCATGGCATGTTGAACTATGTTTTGATTTTCTGATATTCTAAGCATGACATATAACTCAAAATGAGATGTGCAGCCATCCCACAATGGTTTGCGAGCAACATTCAATAAATCACAAAGCCTGTGAGCCTCGGGATTTGGTGCCTCTTTCTACTGAACTTGTCTTGCATAATGTTGACTTATTCCATCGAAGATCACTCTTCAAATCTGCTTGAGTCAAATCCATGTGGAGAATCATAAATTGTCGAATAAGCGAAGCCGAATGTTGTAGTATCAACCTCCCAATGTGAAGTTCAAATCTAGTAATATGGCTGAAATCCCCAACGGTATAAATCATATTTCACTTCATCAGGTATTTATATGCTCGAATTCTGTGTGTGGAACATGGATACCGAAAACTACCCTCAAATAAGTAAACTGACAGTTGAGAAGCAGCTATCACAAATTCTTTGACACCATTCAATAACTCCTGGGTTATCCCTTTTCTAACCAGATAAAGTCTGTTATGCAATCATGATCTCGATGTACGAATATCCATGTATACCTTCAAACATGAGAATAATTAACACATTATATTCATTGTATTTAATTATTTTAGTAGATCTACTGACCAATTGATAACAAAAGGAGATGAAACCTGACAATAATCAACACATTTTAAAATGAGTGAAGTTTTAGATAGCATTGAAGTCAGAATGTTAACAGTCTGCTGAGGATGTTAGGGCTGTCGAAGACCGATTATTGATGAACATTTATCCATCTGCATAATTTTTTCATATTTTCTCCACAGTGTAAAACCACTTATCCACCCATGTATCCTCGTCTCAACAACTCTTATTATACCAATTTCGCATGATTTTTTGAAAGTCGATGCTTATGTTTATGATTGGCTCTTCACTTGGAGACAAAATATGATAGAAATATATCTGTTCGAAGGCTTGTGTAGCTACAAAGACATATAATATTTGAGGGTCATCCTAATAGATTGAGAATCAATGTTCGACCAATAATGATCTTCGACTAAACTAACATTACTAAAATGTCAAACAAGCTTACTTGTAGTAGACCTAATTTTTAGATATAATATTATCTGTTACCGTAGCTACACCAAACCTTACACGAGTTTATCTCTTTCGTATTGTATTTTTCAAATGGAATGTCAATTACAACACTAAGCATACTCGTTGCCGCAAACCCCATACATGATTAACTGTACACCTGAAAATATGTTATTTGAATGAGATATTTCATAAGATCTAAGAGTTCTCACTACATCCTCAAGTGTGGAGTCTCATTTCCACAGTTAGAATGAAAATTCACGTTGAAATCTATTTTGTCAGTTCCAAAATGAAAATCCACTTTGAAATCTAATTTTCATTGCCAAAATGTGAATTACGACAATGGAATTTAGATTTGGATGTGAATTTCCATCTTAGAACTGAAAATTTAGATTTCAAAATAAATTCACCATCACTACTAATGATTTAATCTCGAGCAAAGCTGAGATCAACTCAAAATAGACTCAAAATAAATTAGATCTAAAATTTTAACTCATTGTTTGATTCATTTATTTTGATCTATTCTAAATTTGTTCTAGATCTTCAAATAAATTTTGTAGCAATAAACAACTCAATTCACAACCTTCTATTATAAATTTGTTGGGACTATTTGGGGCAGCTATAGCTTATTAAAAAGCTGTCGTGCAATAGCTGTGGTAGAGAGTTGCTGTGGAGAAGCTGACTGACTTATTTGTTTATTGTAATTTTGAAACAGTTGTATTGCAGCTGTTTTTGAACAAATGACATTTTTGCCCTTGTACCGTAGTGTTGTTTATTTCAGAACTCATCGTGCTAGCATATTTCTTACTTGAAAGTAAATATCTAGTTTGAATGTTACGACATAAAAACATACTCCTCACAATAAGAGTGAGCAGCACAATAATCAAAATTTTAAAAATAATTATTAAAATAATAATTAATAATATGATAATACTACTTTTAAAATGAAGTTGGTTGATGTCACAAGATAATCCGTTCTCCAATGAAACTCTCTATACATGATCACTATCGACGGTGGAATCCTCAAACTAATTCGCCCACCTAAAAAAGTCAATTTTTTGTTCTTCTCATTGGACATTTATAAAGCTGTCTCTCATAACTATTTGGTTATCGCGAAGTAAGCACATAACATTGTAGTCCACAATTGCAGTACAATGCTCTGCAACTGCCATAAATTTATCATCAGTGGCCGCGAAGCAATAGTAACAACCCATCGAACGCAGTAGCCGCAAATCACAAATAGCAACCACCCCTTCATAAAACCTTCATATGTTGTATAAAAAAAAAGAAAAAAAAACTTGTTTTGTTGAATTCCACATATCCCTGCATGTCACCAGCAACCCTCGTCTAACCCTGTGGTCAACAACCCAAAACGAACCAGAAACCACAAGTCCTAAAAAAGAAAAATGCACTTCATATATGAATCAGAAACCATAAAGAACAAAATGCCACTTTGACCTAAATAATTTTCAAATTTCACATAAAAAGGATATGCAAGTGTTTTTATCTCCCTCTCTTCAATTTCTCCATAGAGAAAACACTAAACCAAAAAACAACATGCTAATAACTACAATGAACCAAAAACCACAAAGAGTAAAGAGCAAAAACCATGAATACCTATATGCTTCCAATTTTCTTAATAAAGTTGATATGCCATCTGGTGTTTTCTCATCACTATATTCTCAATTTCTTTATAGAGCAAAGTCGTAAATTGCGCAAAACTAAGTCACACACTGCAAATACAAAGCAAAGCCATTTCTTAGAAAACAAGATTATTGTGGAAAAATCATAAAATCCATTTCTCGGCAAGCAAAGCCACAAACCTCAAAGATCAAGCCACGAACACCAACCACAAACCGCAAGGGGGGAAATAACATAAGAGCAAAAGGGGAGGTTGCAGAAACCAGAGGACATAAAAAAAAAACAAAAATACAGAGTATTCTCAACGGTTCTCTCACGGCAAGAGGTGAAACTGCTAGGGTAGGTGCAAGGAAAGGAAGCGGGACAAAAACTGAATCAACGCAAATGCTATAAGGTGGGGTAACCCAATAAAAAAATAGTGATCAAACGTGACCCGTGTGGCCGAACCTGCAAGCTCATTTTTAAATTTTTTTCCAATTAAGCTGCCCCGAAAGAGGATTTTCGTTTTTCACTCCACATTCCGGTTAACGACGGCCCACGACACCTGCTCCAGATGTTTTTCTCCTTTTCTTCTAGGGTTCAGTGGAAAAATTAGGGCTCCTTCCTTCTAGGGTTTACCTGCATAATTTCACCTACTTAGTGTGTTATTCGTTCAATTTAAACTCTTAAAATGTTCTCCAAGAGGAGAGACTACCCTCTCTCTGCTGCCATGATCTATAGCCAGGATAGGTGATGTCCCATGCCTGGATCGTTCTGGAGCAGCTCGAATCTATCGAAGCCATGGTGATGCTCGCGGCTCTATTCACTTTATAACGATTCGTACTCTAGTTCCACGGGAGAATGAGTCAGCTTCGGCATGCGAGTTTGAGAGATTTAGTTTAACCTAGGGATATATTTTTTCCAAATAAATCAGATATTTTGCTTAGATCTACCGTGTTGTTAACATCGAGGAAGTTTATGATGTGGAAGGAGCGGAGAAAGAATAGAAGGATGTGCCATATATATTATTGTTTTTCAGAAATACTTTTTTAGTTCTCAGTATTCTCAATTTCCATGCAGTCGACATCTAAGAAGTTGATTACGAGGGAGGAGTGGGAGAAGAAGCTTAGGGATGTGAAGATCAGGAAGGAGGATATGAACAAGCTGGTGATGAACTTTCTTGTGACGGAAGGCTATGTGGAGGCTGCTGAGAAATTTAGAATCGAATCTGGCACTGAACGTATTATGAATTTATGTTTTTGTCTTGTTCTTTGAACCAGCTTCACCATCATGCATTTAAGGATATATCACAGTTCTTAGTTTATTTGGTGTTATGCAGCGGAGATTAACCTTGCTACAATTGCTGACCGCATGGCTGTCAAAAAGGCAGTTCAGTCTGGTAATGTGCAGGATGCTATCGAGAAGGTTAATGACTTGAATCCTGAGGTAAATAAATCTTTGATAGTTTCGATGATTTACTTCACTTTAACATTCATGAGATGAATAGCCTTTTGGACAATATAAACTCTTTCTCGGTAAACCTCGTCTAAAGGTAGCCTTTTTATTTCTTCCTTTGGTGAAGGTAATGTCTCTGTCTGAACCTTGCCTGGAAATTTGGAATTTTGCACGTTTAAGCTAAAGACTACTGCATATTATATGCATTTTGCATGTAAAGCTAATGATATATCTAAGCAATGTTGGATAGGTGTGATCCAGGTTTTTTGAATTGACAATGTAAGACCACTTTAGAACTATGATCAAATTTTAGTTGCGGAAGGTAAAACCTGTAGTTTCTTGGGACCTAGATTTCAAAGGTCTAAAGATAAATATAAAATTTTTGGAATGCTGATTAATGCATCATACACAATTTCACAAAGTCCATAAAATGGTTGGATTGCTGTATCTCATGAAATGACCACATGCACTGGCAAAGAGTTTCTTAAATGAGTGGTAAGTTTCCTTTTGTGTATGCGTGTTTACTTTGCTTTTTTTTTAATTTTTTTTAATAAATTAGGCATCTAATATATATTACACCTGCTTGCTTGAAACAATGAGAATGCAAACTAACATTTTATTTGATAATTAATCTTAATTTGGTAAAGAAAGAATGTCATTTAGAGTGTTCCTTGGAATTGGTTTTTTTCCCATTACACATGCCATCTCTTTAATTATTTTATATGGTTTATCTTTTATTTGTACATTTTTATTTTATTTTATTGGCATGACATGTATGCCTATTATCTATCAGGTTAATGTCATTGAGAATTTGGTGAAAAGTGTTATGTAGGAAACTGATAGTTGTATATGTGTTGCTTGCATGTTGACATTTCTTGTGTTTGAATGTGTGCATATATCGAATATATAAATTATGACGAGTGTACAACAATAATAAGAATTCATTCCATTGAGTGTCATGTTTTCATTTAAATTTAATAAATTAAGATCATTTTTTATACAACATGCCCAAGTTTTTTTAGGTCTACCTCTACTTTTCTTAACATAAGTCAAATTCAAAACATCTACTCTCCTAATAGGATCATCAGATTATTGACGTTTAATATGACCAAACCATCTAAACTCTCTCTAATATTGTTTTTCCACTGGAGCTATACCAGCTCTTTCATGGATATATTCGTTTTCGCATTTTGTCTCCAAGTGTAAAGTCACTCATCCACCTATGCACTCACATCTCAACAACTAGTTTTATGCTTCTCTTTTATGGGCAAGTCTAAGAAATACCTTTCTATCACACGATAGACCCGATGCATTCCTCCACTTTAACAATCCAACTTGAATTTTACTAATAACACTCCCATCCATATCACCATCACTTTGAACAATAGAGCCAAGATATCTAAAATTTTCTCTCCTTTTAATGATTTGATTAATCATTGTTACAGTTCCTTTACTAAATCTACCTCTAAACTTATATTCCATGCATTTAATTTTAAATCCACCCAAACAAAGGCATTTAGAATCTAACGTTGATCTCCATAATTCAAGCTTTTCTTGAACTCTTTCTCTAGTCATATCCATAAGAAGGATATCATCAACGAAAAACATACGCCAATATACATCCTTCTTTAAATGTACGGTAAGAGCATCCATAACTAAAACAAAAAGATGCGGGCTTAAAGTCGATCTCTAATATAATCCAACTTGGTCAATCCTCTTTTTGTTTGAACACAAGTAACAGTCTTGGTCAATCCTCTTTTTGTTCGAACACAAGTAACAACTTTAGTATACGTATCTTTAATGACTTGAATATAAGTCATATCAACACCTTTCTTTTCTAGAACTCTCCAAAGAACTTCTTTTGGAACCTTATCATAAGTTTTTTCTAAATCAACAAAAATCATATGTAGAGCATCCGTTCACTATGCTTTTCTATCAAACCTCTTAATAAATGTATAGCTTTCATAGTAGACTTGCTCGATATAAATCCGAATTAACCTTGAGAAATTTTTGTATCATATGATAGTTTTCTCATATTTTATCCATTTTTCATTTATCTTATTTTTTTGTTCTTTCAAGAAAAAAAAAGAAGTCATCTAAACATTTACTATTTTGCTAATATTTTCTCTCTTAAGGATATAACTTCTTTTTTTACATGGTTTTATTTTACTGTTTTATGGATACGAATACCTAGTAAACATCTTAAAAATTGTAAATATAATCTAACATGATGGATAAATCATGACTTCTTTTCAAGGATTAACACTTGATGCACATTTTTTAATTAATTATGATTGCTAAAGGGTTTGATATTTATCCATCCACTCCCCTTTACCCTCTAAACTATATTCTTGACTTACCTTTTTGTTGTATGCTTGACATTTGCTATTTTGGTTGAACTATTCAATGCATAAATTAAGTGGTTGGATGAAGGATGGCTTTTGAAGGTTTAAGTTGTGGCTGAAAGATGTTTTGTATAAGGTTATATTGTTTCAATTATTTTAGAGATTTTTTATACAAGATTATATGGTTTCAATTAATTTATTCATATCAAAGATTAACACTCAGTCATGCCAGTTTCCATGTTGCTCGAAACTACTTTCTACTCTCGTTGCTTCACATTTTTTCCCCTAATTTTACTTTTGACTGGCTTATACGATTTAATGAACTTATATGATATCAATGTGAAATTTATATGATAATTTTAAATATTCATGACCTTTGGTGCACATTTTTTGACTTATTAAAGCAGTAATATGTTCTATTTAATTTGTTGTTAACAATGTTATATTACCTAAGGATATGTTTCTATTGAACTATTGAATTTTAAATAAATTATTTTACATTTTAAAGCTTCATTTTCACTTTGTTTTAAATAATGAGCTATGTGCTACAACTCCGTTAGATCTTTGTACTATGGCGTGCTATTTGCTATTGATAAATATAGGTTGTTGACATAACATTGACCATCAATCCTTTTTTTAATTGGTTATAAACATGCTTACAAATTGTATTAGATAATGTACATGACTGCATATCTTTTATATATAACTATGTTTTAATTGGTAGGTCCCCAATCAAAGTAACCGGGCAATAAAAGTAGTGGTTGATGTTTTAGATTCGACTTATGTTAAGAAAGTTAGAGGTAGACCTAAAAAGACCTGGGCATGTTGTATAAAATTGATCTTAATTTATTAAAATTAAATTCATGTTGTATAAAAATTGATCTTAATTTATTAAAATTAATTGAAAAAATGACACTCAATAGGACAATGGAGAAAAATGATTCATGTTGCTGACCCCACTTAGTGGGATAAAGGTTTGTTTTTGTTGTAATGTTTTAATTGGTGGGACCTCAATCGAAGTAACTGAAAATTATGAACAATAGAGAAAATTCTTGTAAGATAGCGGCGTAGGACTATTAATACAAATGTTTAGTATATGATATGAGGTTTCGACATGTATGATATTAGTAATTATCTATTAATTTTTCTCTTTTTTTTTAATGAAAGTGAAGAAATTGAACCTTGGGGCCCATTTCTAGGCTGAAGGATATGCATGAGAGATTTCAAGGTTTGTAGAGATTGAAAAGAGCTGAAAATGAAAACTGATGTAGGGTCTTAGAGCAATTTCATTTGAATGCAAAGTCATTTATGTGAACATGATTGCTTTTTTATAGATAGAAACTTATTTTAAATTTTTTATTGATTGAAACTAGGGCATGGGGACCAATTATAGTCTTAGAAATGACTAGGCACGATGCTAGTCAAATTAGGATGTGAAAAGGCAAATTAGATCAAATTTAGGGCTAAAAAAAATTAGTTATAAGAAAATCAAAGGCCCCAACCACAACTAAAGATACTAATAAACTAGAAATTTCTTGTGCAACTCTTCAAATAAGATATTAACAAGGAATCATATACAATTCAATCCACAAACTTCCAGCAGAAGTCCATCAGATTTATGATGGAGCAGGTTAATTTGGACCCATAATGGGCAAGTGGAAGCGAAATGAGTAGACCAGATGAAAGACGATTGTAGGGATTCTATCCTGCTTTTATTTTATTTTATTTTTTTCGGGCAGTTTGAGAAACCGTTTTTTTTTTCTTTTCCCCTTCTGTCTGGGCAAGCATGTAATTTCAGGTTGTAGTACCTTGAAATTCCGCACTTACAATTCTTTATTGATATCTAATTTAATTGTAGATTTTTTGAGCAGATTTTGGATACCAATCCACATTTATATTTCCATCTACAACAACAAAGACTGATAGAATTGATACGATATGGAAAAGTAGAAGAGGCTCTTGAGTTTGCTCAGGAAGAGCTTGCGCCAAGAGGGGAGGAAAATGTACGGCCTTTTATTTCATATTAATCTTTTATATCCACTTTTTATATGTATCTCACATTTGGTTCATGCAAAAGGATGTTTTATCTCTTTTTTGAACTGCTCCACAGCAGTTAGATGACCTTTTCTTCGACAGATTCCATTGTGATCATATACATAAGTTTGTAACGTTGAAGCAATGCTTTAATTGGGCTAAAATATTGATAAAGGGCATTTTATTTCCTTTTTTTTTTTTTTCAATTTCAGCAAAACTTTTTGGAGGAGCTAGAGAGGACGGTTGCTCTGCTTGCATTTGAGGATGTAAAGAACTGTCCATTTGGTGAACTTTTGGACTTGTCCCAAAGGCTGAAAACTGCAAGTGAGGTGAATGCTGCTATATTGACAAGTCAGAACCATGAGAAAGGTAGGTAGAAATTAATATCCAGTCTCCTATAGCACCGCCTCAACTCTTTTCTAGATCCTCCACACTCCTCCCTCCACTCAACATATTCCCATACCCTGTTCTGAGACTGTGTGATCTGATATGGTGTTATTTTTATTCTGTATCTAAAGCCTGCTTGATTTTTCAATGCTCAACTTGATCTTCATGTTATCACATTTATATGTTTCATTTCTACGTTCATATTATATTACGAATTCTTCAGTTCTATAGGGACACACCTTGTAAAAACTTAAAAACGTCTCTTTTTGTTCTGCTTTGATAGCTGCTTACTTCTCTATTGATCAATATGGATTTTCATGTTTGTCTTTTGCCCTGTTCGGCATATTTATCACATATGCTTAATCTTTATCTGAAAAAATGGAATAATGTTCTTTTTAGTTATTTGGGAAAATTATATCATTTTCTTGTCATTTTTGTTCATTCTTCAGAAAATTATACCAATTTATGCAAATAAATTTGCATGATATATATAGCACTTCATGCAACACTTGAACGAATAGAGAATGATAATGCAAATTTTTTCGCCCCTTCTATGTGTGAGCTTTTTCCTTTTGCGGGATAGAAGGAAACGTTGGCTCTGTTCTTGATCCAATTTTGTGCAGATTTAGATGATTTTAGTGTTATTAGAAATTTAAAATCATTGCTACAAGATAGTCATTTCAATGAGAAATTTGTATCACTAGGATTTTTCTTGGTTTCTAAAATAATTTTTATGCTAAAATAGGTAGTTTCGTTCCATTTGAGTTCATTTAATGTTTTGAGATGCATGCGATATGTTAAACACTTGTCTTCATTAGATGAAAATTTCTAATACCCCAATAATGCTAAATCTTCTTTGGGCTATAATTTCGAGTTATTTACTCCACCTTACTTCTAATGATAGACAATATTCCTTCATTCTTATTTTAATATGTTTAATACCAATAATATTTTTTTTAAATTATCACCAAAATAATCCTTATCATATTTGATCATATCCATTCTAAAATATCAATGAAAATAATATGTAGATCCTTTCATTGCTCTTTTCCAGTTGCTTTAGTACAAACCTTTGCATTATTTTTAGTTTTTTAGCATAAATCCAAACTTATACTTTGATATTGATTTAAGTTATTAAAACTATGCTCCAGCTCCTTTTTGAGGACCTTTATTATACGACCCATACATTTTATTTTTTTATATTCTTTACTCCACCTTACTTCCTTCACACTTATTTTAATATATTTAATTTACCAATAATATATATATTTTTTTAAATTCGTCACCAAATTAAGCCTTCTCTTATTGGATCATATCCCTTATAAAATATCATTGAAAATAATATGCAAATCCTTTCATTGTTTTTTTCCAGTTGCTTTATGTTGACCTCATTTTCGGGTGAGCTATTCACTTCTCTCCTTAGAGCTTATGGTCTAACTTTAGGCTTCCCTTGTTTGACCCTCCTTCCCTTGTTTGACCCTCCCTAGAGGACTAGTACCAGACCCACACCATTTAGAAAATTCGAGCCACCTCGTCACTTTTTTGAGTCTCGCATGGGCGGTACCAAATTCTCGACATTTTGTTGAGATGGTTAAAACTGACATATGAGACTCGTGTTGGGTTCCTACATTAATAGGAGCAGCCCCTAGGAAAACCTCTTGCGATTCAAATTCTCACTAACACTGCATTTTGTGGACGCATCGCACCACACACGATTTTGACTTGAATTGATCTGTCTGTCGGCAAACTCTTCCGGACGACCCCAGATGACGAAACAAACCACACAGATGCGTCTGGGACGTCAACTTTAGCTAGGAATGACACCCATGTCACTATGGTTCCGCGCGCGAGCAATCAACACGAAAATCGATGCAAGTTTTTTTTCTTAATTAACGGGGCGCGGGCCCGGGCTCAACCCAGGTTCAACTCAAGTTCGACTCGGGTTCGATTCGGGCTAGACACAGGCTGAACATGAGCTCGATTATTTCAAATTTCAAAATTTGAATTTCAAATCAACCATTTAATTTCACATTAATTAAATTTAATTGAAGAATATCATTTGCCAAATAAAATTCCTCGGAAACAAATTAATTCCTTGCCCAACGCAAGCGTAATGGGTATTTGGAATTCGCAGGATACAAATCCCGCTCGTCTCTTCCTCGCCAGACATTCGGCTCCCGCTCCTCCGCTCGATCCCATTCCCCCTCTGCGATCCAAATTCGACTACTCCCCAGCTCGACTCCCGCCCCCTCACGCAGAAAGAAGCTCCGCTTGCCTGCTTCGCCTCCCTCAGAGATCGCAACGCTCTCCTCTCTTCGCGACCCCCTCTTCTTTCCCGTTCGCGACCCAATCGAAAGCCCTAGCCGCTCCCTTTCGCCGATGCCGTCCTAGCCGCTCACTTTCGCCGGCGCCGACCTAGCCGCCCTAGCCGCTCATGTCGCCGACCTAGTCTGCTCGCAGCCTCCTCCGGTCTTGGTTGCGCTCGGTTCACCACCGGTAAGGTAAAGGTAAGCTTCCTCCTCCCTTCTGACTATATAAACCCCTTTTGAGGGAGGGATGAGGTTGTTGAAATTTTGGAGAAGGTTTGTGTGTTGTTGCCGAGGCCTTGCTGCTTCGTCCGTGGCTTGTTGTTTCGTCTAGTTCTCTATAGTTCGAAGCCCTCTTCCTCCTTTCTTCATGAATTTGGGAAGTAAGAATTTTACTGTTTTTCTCTTTGATTTATTTGTGAAATACTTCATGCAGTAAGAAGTGCTTTGGTATTCTTGATTTAATTTGGAAGAAACGTCTCCTCTTATCTTCTGGGATCTGATTTATTGACTTAATATTTGGATGGTGGTATAGGCTTTAGATTTGTAAATATATAAGAATTATGTGGTATGCGTGTAAATTGTCCTTAATTTGTTTCATCGCTAGCTTTGTGTATTTTATTGGAATGGGTACTTTTGATATTTGGATTTATCAAGATACATATGGCATTGTCTGTAGGAGAAATTTAATTTCTTTGCAGAAATTCATGAGGGTTGGAATGCTTACTGTTGAGTAGGCTTGGAGTAAGCTTTAGTTTTGTTTGCTCGTCTTACTTGGAGAAAGTTTCTGATTCCCTGATACATTGCTTTTATTTGAATTCTACGTAACTTGTATTTCTTTAGCCCTCTTCTGTTTCATAGCATATTTGGAGCACTAATGACTTGTTTCTCTTTCATTTTCGAGAGGAATTCACTGAGGCATAAAGATAAATTTGATAGAAGAAGTCTTCGTTCATCATCTTGAGCTTAGTTGGTTATGATAGCTTCTTCATGCTTAGCAATTTTTGAACTAGAGAATTTTAAGTTACAGATCTTGGATTTGGGGATGAACATAGCTTTTCTTTTTTTTTTATATACTTCTCTGAATATGGATGCTTTGCCACAAAAGCCGCATTATATAAGCTTTATCAATGGAGAGAGTAAAAAAAAAGCTGCAGCAATTGTATGTTAAATGCTTAATCTCTCTTAATCACCATAGACCATACTCTCTTAAAAATGTCATTAAAGCATGATGGAGTGGCCATTCAAGTATCTCGATAATCTGAAAGTTTTCTTTGGTGTTCAATTTGTAAAAGTCTGCAAGCTTTGGGTTTCAATTTGTAAAAATCTGCAAGCTTTGGTGTTTGATTTGTAAAAATCTGCAAGCTTTATTGTTTAATTTGTAAAAATCTGCAAGTTTTGGTGTTCTATTGGTAAAAATTTGAAACTTTAATGCGTTCGCGATACTTTGGGCCTCCAATAAAAAAAGGGGAATGTATATTGGAAATGAAATGAGGAAAGTTTACATGCACGCCACACAATTCTTATATTCACAATTCTTATATTCCACACAATTCTTATATTTTCTGCATGTCCAAAACTTAAACCTTACATCTACACTATCCTTATTTTCATGTTAAATTCTCTGTTTCTTAACATGAATGACATCTTTTCATGCTTGAATTTATTCACTTCATTGGGGGCTGTTATACTTGCAGTTTGGAGCCTTTAAAAACACTGGTTTTTGTTTTTTTGTTGGGGGGTGAGGGTGGGGGGCTCGATGCTTTTACTGTTTTGAGGATTTTCTATAATTGCTGCTTGGGACATTTAAATGACTGTTTGGAGCACTAAGCTGCTGTTTTGGCTTAGAAGTGTTGTCTAGTCCTGCAGGTGGCTGTTTGGAACTAATTAAGTGCTGTAGGATGCTGTTTGGAGCTAATTAAGTGTTGTCTGGTGCTGTAGTTGGCTGTTTGAAGCTAATTAAGTGTGGTATAGGGCTGTAAGCTGCTGTTTGGATTTATTGAGAGCTGTTTGGAGTTCCTAGTTGCTGCCCGAAGCCGTAGGAGATCGTAGGATCACCGTGCAAGCTTGCTAGTTGCTGCCCGGAGCTGTAGGAGGTCTTAGGATCACCGTGTGTGCTTGCTAGTTGCTGCCCGGAGCCGTAGGAGATTGTAGGATCACCGTGTAAGCTTGCTAGTTGCTGCTCGGAGCCATAGGAGCTTGCTAGTTGCTGCCTGGAGCCATATGAGGTCGTAGGATCACTATGTGAGCTTGCCAGTTGCTGCCCGGAGCCGTAGGAAGTCGTGGGATCACCGTTTAAGCTTGCTAGTTGCTGCTCGGAGCCGTAGGATGTCGTAGGATCACCATGTAAGCTTGCTAGTTGCTGCTCGGAGCCGTAGGATGTCGTAGGATCACCGTTTAAGCTTGCTAGTTGCTGCCCGGAGCAATAGGATATCGTAGGTTCACCGTGTGAGCTTGCTAGTTGCTGCCTGGAGTCGTAGGAGGTCGTAGGATCACCGTGTAAGCTTGCTAGTTCCTGCCCTGAGCCGTAGGAAGCCTTAAGATCATCTGCTTGGTGTTCCTAATTGCTGTTACAACTTGTTTTGCTAATTTTTACATTAGAATTACTGTTTTCTCCCCTTTATTGTAAATTTATTTAAATTCCCTGCAAATTATATTATGTTTTATGAGCTAATC